TGGACAAAATTTGCGGAAAGTGAGGGCAAACGGTTCAATTTAGGTCCCAACTATTCTTAGTTTCGAACGGGCCTGTAGCTCAAAGAATGTTACTCCAGCAGATCTCCTTTTGGTGAAACAGACAACAACAAAAAAAGGTCATTTACATAAGCAGGCTTAAAGAACTTTTACAAAGCAGAAGGGCGCGCTTAAGATATTTACCGTAAGAATGTACATTCTGTGACATGCAATGTCGCAAAATGCAGGGGTCGGCAACGGCCTCGAGAGAGGACGGGGCAGGGCTCGATACCCCCCTTTCTACCCTTTTCACTGTTTACCCCTACCATCTCACCTGCAGATCCACTGCGGTGACCGGGGTTTGTCTGCAAGTTTTAAAGAATATCTACGCCGACGGCTCTGCGTTTGGTTATTCGGAATCCTGACTGCGAATAACCCTGGCCGAATCGTGCCGTGCCGGAGTCGGCTGCTTGGCATCCAGCGAATGGTGTGAAAGAAACTATTTGTTTGTAAATCAAGGAGAAGCTTGTCGAGGTAAGTAATATGACCACTGCACACTTCAAAAATTTGGGCGTCGATATTTCCAGACCGTTTCATAAACCATTGTTTTGTTTTCGTACCTAAGATTCCCCCAAATAGGTTGCGTATCGGACGGGTAATCTTGACTTCGTTTTTGTGGGGTATATTTTTAAGAACCGCAGAAGTTCACAAAAACAAGTTGGCCTTATCAAATTATGTTCAATATTCTTCAAAACTTGCAGTCAAACCCCGGTCACCGGGCGATCTGCAGGTTAGGTAGTTAGGGGGTAAACAGTGGAAAAGGGCAGATGGGGGGGGGGGTATCGAGCCCTGCCCCGTCCTCTCTCAAGGCATCAACCCTGCAAAATGACAGTGATTCCATGATTTACTGATATAACAGGTACTGAAGAGCAAATTTCCTCGATCGACCAGTGTATGAAAACATTGAAAGCTCTAATCAGGTATGGCTATTGTCGAGCTGTTCGACTGGTGGCGTCTATTGATTAACCCTGAGAAAGCAGAATGGCGAAAAAAGATAGAAAGCTTGCTGCTCGGCACGAAGGTGAGTGTGTATGCTACAAGGTCAGTGGCGGGCTACGAAAAGCTTAGATCCCATTGCGAACTTCTTTGCGAAGTTGCATTTGGTCCATTTGGTAGGAGGGAATGGTTTACCAGACATTTTCTGCTGAAAATGATTTTAATTAAAGAGAGATGTTGGTTTTTGTATAGTTTCCTATTGAGGTGGTTCGTTGAAAAAGGGACCAAATTTTCAGCAGGGTTTGCAGCCTTTGTTACACGTTTAGTACCACCCGCAGCGCAACGCCGCACCACCGCTGTGTTCAAGACGACTGGCGGATCGGAGTTGACTGCTGTAGCTACTTGAGATGTACGAAAAACTGAAGGGGGAACTTTGTGGCCTGGTCGAGGGCACTGTCTATTTCTTAGCCCTGGGGGCTACTTTCTTTCTGACACCCTATAAACATTTATAGTGGTGGGCGGATCCCTGATAGAAGTTTAAAACAGGGCTCGGGTATCGAGGGGTCTGCAACATTCGTCTGCCGCTGTACACTGGCTTTTCACTGCTAAAAGTTTACGAAAAATTTACTTAGAAGAACTGCGCAGGATTTAGCTCCGGAGAAAGCTTTGCATTGACGAAGCTGGACAATCGAAAATCATGTGATTGGCAAAAAATATAATAACTTGAGGTTCGAAGTCCACCATTGAAATTGCAAAGCTTACTTCACAATTGCAAAGCTTTCTTCGTGTATTACAAGGGAGCTAAGCCCTTCGCCCTTCGCATTTCTGCAAAGTAAACTTTTCGTATACTTTTAAACGTGCAACTTAAAAAAAACAAGTAGAATGAAAAACTATCAAATTAATTTTATGCAAAAGGAGGATACTCGTTGTTCACCACAATTTCTCTCATGCATGGTGTAATAAAGAGCTTTGCGTACCCACACGGTAAAAACAATGTCTTATTTTTTGAGGGAAAAGGGAAAACTTTGAGGAACTCTCCTGGTCTGACGAAAACTCCGCACCACTGTGAAAAAAAGTAGGCAGGTTTACAGGAAAATTTTCCTTGACGCAAGTTGTAAAATTAGAATTTGAAATCGTAAAAATACATGCAGAATGTATCGACTTCAAATCCCTTGGCGAGTAAAAAATGTGCTGTCGTAAATTTACAACTTCAATTATAATTCGAGTTTACAAAATTTTTGTAAATTTACGACGATACTTTTCACAGTGACATTTCGAGGAAGTCTCCTCGAAAAATGTGTGATTTTTCCTCGTTTTTTAAGATTCCTCTAAATCTGAGGCGAGATCGGAGGATTCTTCCTCAAACATGAGAGTTCCTCAAAGTTTTCACTTTTGCCTCAAAAAATGAGACATTGCTTTTACCGTGCACTGATCGAAAAATATGAGATGGTAACGAACCATGCGAACGCGAGTTCAAGGTGTTCACAGTTCCGTCAATAGATGGCGCTGCTCGCGCATACGCATAACCCATTTTTTGGACGTGTGTTGATGTTGACGTTTTGAATGGTTGTAAAGCATTATTCTATTTTTCACTTTGGAATTATTCATAGGAAATACTCAGAAACTATGTCATACACTGTTTAAAGAAAGTCAAAACTTCACGAAGAATTCGTCGTGAAAAATGGCCCGAGCACAATACTCGTTCTCTACCTCCGAGAAGAAGTGTTCAGAGGTAAAGAACGAGTAAAAGCACCGCTTGCCTACTTCAATCGTGAGGAACTCACAGGGCAAAGTGATCAAAAGTTGAGAATGAACCACCTTAGTTTTGCATACTATCACGCTTAGTCAGTTGTAATTTTTCGCTGCCTAGACACCGGTTCTAGAAAGTAAATTTTTCTCCTACTAAGAACATATTGCATTCGAACGAAATGAACTCGGTATTGCTCGGATATTGTACTTGCACACAAGTACACTTAGTGCTCGTTAAGAAGACCGCTCTCTGTTTCAATCGCCATCTGTTTACCTTGGGTGCGATTTGGTTATCATTTTTATCAAAATTTTATTCAATACATTTCAACCATTTACGAACAGTTTACTTGCGTGAACCGAGAAAAGATTTCATAGGGTGCAATTTGTTAATTTCTTGTTGAAGCCATTTAGCTGCTTCTTGATGATTTTCCTTCCAACGACATTCATGGGTGGACTCCAAAAGGGGTTGACGATGAAGGCAATAATGGCTTTAAGACTGCCTATTTCACTCATGCCGTGTTTTGCGGCTGGTTGCCTGTTTGGATTCAACCGGAAGGCCCTCACCTCGCTATTCGAAGACGCAGTACGGATTTCGTCACAGATATGTACAGATGGCGTCCCTCCAAGAATCGAAGTGAGTTGAGCACGAAAAATTATCGAAAAAGCATGATTTTAATGAGAAAAATATCTTTAACGGTCGATATTTTTTAAATGACTAGTTTACAAGCAACGTTGTTAATGTAGATACGGCCAACATCATTAATTTACGCTATTGTTTACGACGCGGTTTTGAAATTTTGTATTTAATTTTGTTTTAATATTTTTAAACGTAATTTTATAACACATTTCTTAGTTACATTCCCTGAAAAACTGAAAATATTTTTATCTGAGGGGGTTGGTAACGAGGGGGCCACCACTCGCGTAATCCTGTGTAGCCTACAGATGAGGGTGTAATCCCTACGTAATCCTTATCTATTCCGTGTAATCCTTGACAAAATTTTAAAACATTATCACTAAATTTTACCTTATTGTCCAAATTTGATGGTTTACGAGCCTGAAATTCAACAAAATTCACGTGTAATCCCTGTAATTACGTAATCTTGTGTACATCCTCAATCGATGTGGTGGCCCCCTCGGTTGGTAAATTGAACGACTCCTGCGTATCCAAAACCTTGGAGCAACGGTAGCCCCGTAGTTAGTCAAGTGAAGTTAGTATTAAACTAAGTTATTGCCGATTGAAAAAACGCTGGCCCTTAGATTCGACCTCAATTTTAAAATTCTAAATGAGTTAGAAGGTCCTCAGTTATGAAACAAAATGTGATTAATGTTTTCTTCACTTCTTTTGATTGCAGGAAAATTCTCGCCGCCTACTGAATTTCACTCGCATTGGCTATGGTGCTATGCACGCATGGACCGCAATAGCGACGTTAAGCGTCCCTGTTTCAGTTGCCTTTCAGGGCAAACTTCTTATCGACATGTGGCCGTGGTTTGATGGGGACGTAGGCGTTTGGCTCGGGGGCACTTTACAGGCTAGTGAATCGTGCAATTACCAACTTTTGGCGGTTTCAGAGCACACAATTCATAGGGGATTATTGTGTTGTTCATCAGTTTTTGTGAAATTTGCGAATTTTGCCTAAATCATAAAACGGCCGTAGCTCCGAAGCTATGAGAGCCACAGCAGAGAGTTTTAATGAATTTTGTCCCAAATCGCAAGCCAACTTCAGATAATACCAATGGAAATCGAGCGATGGAGCGAGAACTTCGAGTGTGTGCTTGGCTTTGAAGCCTTCTTTACGTTAATTGCCTTTTGTGGCTTTGTACGGCGTATATCGGTCAGAAGCTTTTCGAACCTGGTGGATTTGAAGGCCACTTTTGGCCATCGCAAGATTTAACGTCTACATACATATATATCCGAGCAAAAATAGTAGAAGGAACGCAGCCTGGGCGCTGGTTATGTCTATGGGGCCACTATTGATAGCTTTTTCTCGGTGCGTTCCCATCTAACAATCTAAGTAGTGATAATATCTCACAAGCTTGAGAGGCTTTTAAAGTAAACTTCATCGTTAATAAAATTTTCAAAATGCTGATTAGTAAAAGAGACATTTTATACCACAGACTGTCATCGTTTACCCAATGGCGTTTCCGGTGTACGCCTTTTCCGTTTACATGTGGTCCGTTGTCGAGGCTTTGGCAGTGCTATTCAACATAATTTCGAACCAACTCACACATGCTTCCACATACAGCCAAGTGCATCAAGTAAGTAAGGCAGAGAGGTAGGACAAGCAAGAAAAACTTATTCCATGACGTTAAGCAGTAAAGAGCATTTTGCTGGAAGCAAACGGTACCCAAACAAAGGAATGCGTCCCTAAACTATCAGTCACAGTTAAAACAATTGTTAAGTAACAGCAAAAGTTATTTTTTTTTTTTTAACAAACATGTTGTAGAATAACATTATTGATAGAAATCTCGAAATGAAGTCTTTGACCGAAAACAGTAACTTTCGTTTTGCTCCTAGGGAAAACCAGTTGTAACCGTTCAAATTATTTTTTTTGAAACGAAATGTGTTGTTAACTACACGAACAAAAAATAGTTGGTTGAAGCACCCGAATGTCGATCGCCACAACCATTTCTCTCGATAGATACCAGCAGTATCGACTTTCTGGTTGACAACCAAGAACCAAGCGGGAAAGCTGGAGCAGAACCTGGCAATCAGAACCCTTCATAGAAGGAATCGAACTTGACTTGGTTGCAGGGAGTAGGTGCTGTTTTACACGTCGTGGCTGCAGCTAAAAAGTTGATCGCTGTGATCGATTTGTCGTCTTGACATACTAAACGGGCGTCATTTGTTTTGTCTGATTTTTGGCTAGAGATTATTGTTGGAGTTTGAGATCAAGATCCTGCGATCCACTGGGGTCTGGCAGATATCAAAAAACGACAAGTCTTATCAATCGCCCAATGTCGATTATTTGTCAGAGGCTGTATCAGCTTAAGCGGTTAGGTCACGACAGCACGACAGCACCTATTAAATCTCCTAATTTTAGCCGAAATTTTCTTTTTTGTACATCAAAACTTACTTATGTACATCAGAACTTAATATATATTGACGAAAAAAGAAAATTTCGGCTGAAATTAGGAGATTTATTAGGTGCTGTCGTGCTGTGCTGTCGTGCTGTCGCGACCAAACTCGCTAAGCTGATACAGTCAGACCCTACTCAGAGTACCATGTAGATGTCACTCGGGACACCCACCAATGGAGACGACCGAAGGCCTCGCCGCGAGGTAACAGAAATTTACGTGCATCTTTGCTAATAATTAACTAATGGTTTTCAATAATCGAAATATAATTTCAAATGGTTGTTATCTTGCCGTTGGCAGGAGTTATTCACGTAAAATGGTCGCGGGTGAAATGAAATTAAGGAAATAATCATTCAGGGCTGCAGAAGGTGTGCCACGACAAGGCATAGTGGGCAACCCTTTATCTCTCGCACGTTCCTGTAGTGATCGTCGACCTAACCCAAGTAACAGAGATTCGTCTGCAACACGTCAAGTTAAAGTAAACTGATAGCACAGGAGTTTTAGGTTTTGACCTAGAAAAAAATAGTATTGAGCTAAAAATTTGCACACGTGTCCCTAAAAGTGTCCTTAATAACATACTAAAAGTCCCCGAAAATCCCGTGTGCGCGTCAT